GGACATCGGATTGTGAATGGATATTACCTTTCATTATTTCATCTTGATTCATCATGATATCTCTGATCATGATTTTGACAGATTTCTCAAATTCAACTTCAAACCATGTTCTTCGAGTTTTCTTACTGCATACAAGTTATGGGAAAGATTTTCACACTGTATGACATCTTTTATCACAATTTTCCTTCTTTCTCATAATTCTGAGTTAAAGTTTCCTTGTTTTGCTTCCAGTATGCTCTTCCCTTTGTCTGACCAGATGGTTTGTCGCACCACTATCTACGACAAATTCTACATCATGATTTTCTGTCTAGTCTGGGGCCCAATTCTTGAAAAATATCGCATACGAAATGATGATTTCGAACGCTTCCCATTCAATTTACATTGCTGTCAGCCCAATTCGGATCAAATTTCGTATGCGATATTTTTCAAGAATGACTCAAAAATGCTTCTCCTGATTCCACCGTGATGAAACATACGTCATCCTCATCTTTTTCAGTCACATTAGCTCGGTCTTTGTTAGGACAGTCTTCTTTTTTATGGCTTTTTTTGCCGCATAACCATAAAATTTGTATGGAAACCTGCATTTCTGTTTTATTTTATTTTAGTTGGGGGAAAGAAAAAGCAAAGACAGATCAGCAGTTGGGGATAAACTAAAGGAGTTTAACACATAATTATGGAAGATTCTTTAAGTCTGATATATCCATCAACTTATGATGGTAAAAGCTATCTTTTGACCTTTATTTATGAGTTACTGTTTCTCATAAAATATTAAGTAAAGCTAAAGTTGAATGTTGTTATAACCAGAGCAAAATTTGTTACGGGATGATTTTTCCCGGGCCAAAATAAAAGGAAATAAGCTTATTCGCCTCTCTGAATAGCATACCTTCCTCAAGCCACTGTTTTCTATCCGATAATTGTGGTCACACTTTTCATTAAACTTTTCATTCTTCCCAGAATTATTAAGTTAGAGGTTTAATAATGGAATTGATTTCCTTTTGGTAGGGTTAAAATAAATAGTCAGTTAATTTATTAATAAATAAAATTACAATATTTACATTAGAACAGCTGATTGTCTGATCCGAGTAGATTGACTAGATTGACAGCGCTCCAAATAGGGTCAGTGACCGGTACTAACTTAATTTGAATAAGTACCATGCCCCAACTACCATCAAAATCCCGAGTACCTTCCACCTTGGAGTTTTGACAGAGACTTTTTAAAGGACATTGCAGGGACAAGCAGAGGTCATTCAGGTCGAGGACTTTTCACGATTAAGTGTTCGGGAAAATTCCTCAGGCACATTTTGCCGATTTTCTGAGTTGTCTAGTTTTCGCTCATAGATCTAGGGTGGCTAATCCGTTATTTTAGCACCCAATCGCCTTGTGCGGATTTTTTTTTGTGAGTCGAAAAAGAGCAACATGACCAATTGTTTGTTCCTAAAGGCCAAAGTAATTTTGGTAAGTGGTTTTTCTTATTAATCTTCTCTGTGTTTCTCTATTGCCTGTGTAAAAGCATAATTTTCTGTTAATTATATGGTTAAATTCCGAATATTGGACATACCTACCTATTGCTCCCTGTCTTATAATGTCCATTTGTTTCAGGCCTTTAATCTTTACCTTTAGATGTCACCTTTTATTCGTCACGCTTAGTCCTTAACTTGAGTAAAGAGTTAAACGTTGAGCTTACTGTGTGTTTCAAGTAGTACCTCCAATCTTAAGCCTCCTCTAGACCATTGGAAGCTTTAGTGACTCCTAGTTACTGAACTTCAGTGCCCAGGGCCAGTGGCTTCTTGTTGCGGTCTTGATCCAGTCCCAGGCCATCGGAAACACTGGAAGATATTAATTCCATCCGTCAGGTTTTCCCAAGAGATTAGGGACTACTCAGGTTTGATAAGTGTGTTGTATTGTCTTACCTTACCAACCCCTTGTTGGAGTAAATCACGACAACAACGCAGTTCCACTACAATATTAAATTACCCTTCAGATTAAATGTTGTTATTTCAGTTTCAATTAATTATTACCTTTGTTATATGAAATTCAGGTTATGTACTATTAGGTACTTCAATTTTAAGTATTTATCTATACCTTCTATATTATTCCATAACATTAAATTTGCCCCTCAGGCTATTTATTGTTATTTCAACTTTAATTATTGATTTATATTTCTCTAATAACAATCCCATAATTACATGCTGCACAGGTAAATACTTGTACACTGGGGTTAAATGGCCATTTACGAAGGTACTGCATTTAGTAAGCTTGTCTATTGATTATTTATATTTCAGGTATTATTGCTGTTAATTGTTATACTTTTTATTTCTTTATTTAGGGACTCAAGTTGAGTGTAATTAATCATTATTGTAAATACTATTTTAAGAACATATGGTTAGACGATTTCTTTTCTTGTTCTGTTCTGGTTCCAGTATGTAAATAATTTTCAGTGTTCTAGGGCGGTCGGAAAACCCACTCCGAAGCTGCTCTGGAATCAAACCTTTTTTGTTCTAGTTCTAATTAAAACCCGTACCTGATTGTAGCAAAGCGTTTCACTTTTGTCCCTCCTTCTTGTTTATATTTCAGGTTGTGCTGCTATAGTTCCGTAGAAGTTTCCTGCTTTCGTTATATCGGTTGATTTCGTGTACTGCAGGGAAAAAGCAGGTGGCGCTCTATATTTAGTTATTTAATTAACCCACCCCCTCTCCGCATTGGAAGCTAGTCGGCAACCCTTTACACGAAATCACGTTTCTAGATTTCAGCCACCAACCAACTCTCTCTTCTCTTTTTATTATTTTTTTCTTTTTAGTTACCCATTAACTTTCCCACCTCCTCAAAATCTTATCATTAACTTCTCCCTTACGTTTTGCGGGTAACAAAGTGGCAGTGCCCGTTTTGCCACGTAATAAGTTTAATTGGAATATCTCACGTTTTCGATATGCTAATAAAAAAAAACATCGTATTCATATTTATTTAACGCTTTCATGAAAGTGTCTACAGTATAAGGAATTTGAATTACTTTTGTCGGATTTATTATCATCATTAATTTAATTTAAATGTTAAAGGATATTGACTACATTTTGTGGACAGGAGATTTACCTCCACACGACATATGGAATCAAACCAAAGAATACAATCTTAACGTAATCAGGACCACCATCGAAATGGTTATTAAAGCTTTTCCAGACACACCAATATTTCCGGCAATAGGAAATCATGAAGCGAGTCCATCCGGAAAGTAATGTTATCTCAAACTTTCTCGTTTGGATAAAGATGAATTATAGAAAATATTTATTTTCAGCTTTGCACCTCCATGGATGAAAGATACATCACATTCTACATCTTGGATATACAACGAATTAGGAAAATCGTGGTCCAGATGGTTGCCTCAAGCTACGAACAATACAGTGCACCGTGGAGCGTTTTATTCGGTACTGCTCAGGCCCAGTTTTCGATTGATTTCCATCAATACCAACTATTGTCATTCTTTAAGCTGGTAAGGACATTAAATTTTTGCATTTTTTTTTCTCCAGTATTTCTAACAGCACATCTTCTAGAAATGCATCACCTAGTTCATACTAGATTTCTAGATCAAATCTAAGCTCATCAATTAACCAAAAATTATTTGTATTCTTTAGGTGGCTTCTTGTTAACAGTACCGATCCAGCAAGCGAACTAAAATGGCTCGTAAATCAATTGCAACATGCGGAAAATAAGGGAGAAAAAGTTCATATCATAGGTATAGTCGCCCCCAACCCTGTTTCATATTGTTGACATTAGACAATAAAAACCCATTACTTACATAGATACATTATTTCCAGGTCACATTGCTCCTGGAAGCTCAGACTGCATGAAAATTTGGTCGAGAAACTTCTATGAGATTGTACATCGTTACGAATCTACCATAAAGGCGTTATTCTACGGTCACAGTCACGCCGACGAATTCGAAGTTTTTTACGAGACTACCGAATACAGTAAGAGGGATGCATTGAATAAACGGAAAAGGTGGTGGAAAAGCAAAAACATTGTTGACTTGAAATTTACAGGTGACGGATTACTAATATAATCTTAGTACTAATGGTAGTTGTAGAAAAAATTTTCAAATAATCAATTGAATAAAAACAATACCCATTATATTAGTACAAACATTGGTTTGGGAATGTTTAAAAAATATATTTAGAAATATCTACAAAATATTTTTAAATGGATATTAAACTTATTAAAAACATTTTCAGGAAGAATTTTTTTGTTAACGTTTTCTAAACATTTGCAAAACATTTTGTCTGGATTCTGGCTGGCCCACAATAAGATAATTAATGATTTTTGAAGCAAATTATAATTGGTTCTGGTTTGTGTAATAATGTTGTTTTTTTTTTGGAAATATAATTTTATTTAAGATATTATTTATTAACCAAAATTAATATTGCAAATTTTGTAACAAAATTTGATTGTGCATGTGCTGATATGAAAAATAATTAGATTAAGTTTTTTGATTCACGAACTGTAAAGACCAAACAAATACAAAAGTTTTAAGTACCTCACCTTGCTGGTTCTCCCGTAGTGGTTCCCTTTTCATGGCGCTAGTCACGCGTATCCACCAAGGTACCAGTTTTTTTGAGCTTGTATGGTTTGAAAATCTTAACAATAACCGATATTTTGGCTTGCATGAACAGTAATAATTGTAATTACATAATCCTATTTAGGTAGACCAACAGCAGTAGCATATTTGGCACCGTCTGTAACGACCTACACAAACTACAATCCAGCTTATCGAATATATTATATCGATGGAGATCATGAAGACTCCACAAGGGCAAGTAATTGAATGTTTATTTATATTAAAAAATAAATACATAATATGGATTGCACCTTTTTTTTTGTAGGAAGTTTTAGATCATGAAACATGGACATTCGATCTGGAAACTGCCAACGTACCAAACAACGAACCTCTGTGGTATAAATTATATTCCGCCAAAGAGGCTTATCGGATGGCAAGTTTAAGACCTGAGCAATGGAATAATTTAATAGACAATATGGTGACTAACGAAGAAAGGTTTGAAGAATTTTATAGGTATGTAGATATATTGCATTTTTTAACTGAAACACCTCACCTACTTCCTTTTTTTTTTCTTTGATTTTTGACTGATCAACAAAATGTCAAGTTTCATTGCCACTTTTTCTTTTCCTTTTGCTTCTAACTTTTTTTTTTTTCTTTTTCTGGACTGTTAACTGCCTCTCGATACGTTGAGATGCCTTATTCTTAGTAAATTTATTTGTGTGTCTTTTTTTTTCAAAATGTCTTCATTTTTATGGCATTTTCTTCTTCATATCCAAAGTCATTGTCATTATTCATGTTTTCTTTATTTATACTTGTTTGCTCCTTAGTTTCATTTTCTAAATTTAGTTTTAGTGTTTGCTTTTTTGTATCTTCACAAATATTTTATTAGCATTGCTCAAAAAATATTTTGTATCATCATATAAATCACTTTATAACTAAAGGCCAAGCCTTTCATAATTACAGAATATAAAAAGATGATCATTATAATATATTTCAAGCCTAAGCGCATTCACCTGAATTATGTTATTTAATTTTTAAAAATATTAATACTTGACTGACATTGGGTGGTATGAATAAAAACGAAATATCTGCTACTACTACAAGTATTAGTAGATTCTCCGTAGTATTTACTTAAAAACGAAGTAGATACTACATGTCGAAACCAGCGAAAATTAGTAAATGCTTCTTTTTAAAGTAAATACTGCATAGCATACACTAATACTTGTGGTAGTAAAAAAAGTACTTCGTTTTTATTCATACCACCCATTGATTTATTATTTAATTTTTAAAAATATTAATTATTGACTGACATTGATTTTTTTTTTTGCAGAAATTATTACAGAAATTCACCAGTGACTCCTTCATGTGATACAAATTGCAAAGTTCAAATTCTTTGCGACCTGAAAGCGGCAAAGTCGAATAGCAGACATCAGCTTTGCCATGAACTGGAGACTATTTTTAAAACTAATTAAATTTGTATCAATCTAAATGTTTTTTTTTTTTTAATGAAATTTGTTACCTAGATTTATATGTATCTAGTTTCAACTCATCAAAAAGCTTGCATTAATTTAAAAGCTTCTACTTGACTAAACTTCATAAATCTCAAAATATCTTTTTTAGCATGTATAGGTAGGTGGTTTCATATTGAAATTAACTTAACACACTATAAGATAAAAAAGATTAGAAACCGCTAAAAAATTTCGAACATTTGAACTTGTAGAGATACGGTAAGATTATTGTTATAGGTATAATTAGGTAAATAATAATATTTACATTGTTATCTAGATAGACTGCATTAAAAAATTTTGCGCTAGTTTTCAACAAAAAAAAAAAAGATAAAAATTATCTGCCACTACGGCTAAACCATTTGCTATCCTGTGACTAATAAATATGATAAGAATATTTATTTTTAAATGACAATAAACTTTAATAATAATGCACATCGTAGACTAATTATTTTAGTCATTAAAGCTGTGGCTGTTGGGTGGGTGTTAAGTAAAAAGGAAAGTTATTAAATATTTAGTTTATTATTGGGAAACCTATTTATAGGTAAGTCCTATTGAAACATACATATTTTATTGAGATTGAAAATTAATTTAATTATGTATTTAGTCAGTAATTATTGAAACATTGTCTAAAAGCGTTTTTAGTACGTACCTTCTTACTCGGTAAAGATTATTTTATCAATTTTATCTGTTTACTGTAGACAATTAGACCACGTTAATTAGGTATCATAATTACCCAGTAAACACAGCTACATAAATTTAGAGTAGAAATTTACGTAACTACTTTATCTAACTATATAATATATAGGATAGGGACCGGGCACAAATTGAACTCGCGACCCCTAGTGGCAGTTTTCATAAGAATTTCTATGTTACACAATTGGGCTTTTGACAAAATTCCAATATACTGTCAGAACCCCTATACGTTTCGTCCTGGGACGTCACAACAGGAGCGTGATTTGGGGGCGTAGGTATGGGGTTCAGGTAGAGAGAAACTTGCTTAGTATAGGTATAATAAGATGTGTATTGAATAATAATAGTATTACCCTAGAAGTGGTATCATGACGTCTCTTCTACGGAGGGACGTACTACTTATAGGCCACTCTGTATTATGTGCCCTCTGTACACTTGGCGTGACTGAAGACTGAAGCTGGCTTTGAGACAGAGGTCCAGAAGGGCGTTTTCTCAGTTTGCACTGGACCTAGTCTGTGGCGTTCAATACTCCCAGAAGGGCTTTTCCCATTAAAGGTAGTTTGCACTACTAGGAGAGTTAGCTAGAGGGGCTTTTCCCATTAGAGGTAGTTCGCACTAGCTTTAGTCTGCCGGTAATGGATTTTGGAGCTGTATTTATACCAAATGAATGCTGACTCGTCGACACACTTTAGTAAAATTGATGTACAGAGTGGTATTTACTTAAGTAGTTGACAATACTCTAACCTATGGATGAGACTATGCGTATAACAATAAGATGTCTATTTGTCCTGTTTCTCGTATTATGTGGGTGATTTACAATGGAAAAAATATCAGGGTTTTGATAGATAAACAGGCATACCGTAAGTAGGTATATAAAGCGATCTAACATCACAGTATAAAAGTGATGTGGAATACAGTTAAGATTTGTTTTTGATAACTTTGAGGATATAGTTTTGAACAATGTTCAATTGAAATGAATTATCATACAAGTCACCCCAAACAGCAATCCATATTTTAGGAATGACTCAACTGTCGCTTTATATAGTATAGTTATCAATAATTTTGGGTAAGATATTTCTTAAAAATTAAATTTAAATATAAGTCTACGGATATTATTGCTTAGACGTTCAACATGATTATTCCATTTGAGGTGATTATCAATCAGGACACCCAAGTATTTAACACACCTCATTCCTAATGTCTGTTACCCAACTGAAGGGTGGTAAATGGCGGGGGATTGACAGAAGTGAGCGAAAACGCCATATAGTTGGTTTTTGTAATGTTCAGAGTCAGCTTGAAAGTTTCAAACCAAATTGCAATATTTAGGAGACTAGCTATTGCTATTTTTTTGACGCTTTGGCAGGAGGACCTTTTGAAGAGAATTGCTGTATCATTGTCATAAGAAATTACACTACCCTTATAATAAATGAAGTTATGGAGTGTATATATACTATGAATAGTAACGGTCCAAGTACTGTACCCTGTGGTATGCCGATCTGCGCATTCAAAGTGTCACTCAAAACATTAATTATTGCGTCTGTTTTATTTCACCAAGATAACTCGCGAATGAGTCCAACACGACTCCTCGCACTCCATAGGTATTTAAAACATCCAATAGAGCTTTAACCCTTTCCGTACGGCTGACGCAGCCTATGCGACACCGAGGAAATGTGCCACACGGACGGCTGTCGCATATGGTCGACGGCATGTATTCTGTCTCCTGGACGACTGTCGGTTGGGATGCGACGCATTCAATTTTTAGATTTGGCATACAGACTGGTGTCTCAATATTTGCGTACACCGTATGCTCAACGCTCAGGCGGCTGCCACATATAGTCGACACCGTCGATCATATGCGATATCCGGCCACCTTGCAAGTCCAGGGCGACTGCCACATATCGACACTGTCGATCATATGCGACATCCGTTTGTATTTTCGTGCCAGTAAGGCTCAAGATGTCGTCAGAGAATGTAGCTGGTCCCTCGGGGATCGTTCCAAGAGCAAAAAAACAAAAAATAAGTTACGATAGCCATTGCGGATCGTCTGATGCTGAAGTAATTAGTAATATTTCAATGTCGCACATAGTCGACACCCGTCCGTGCCGCAATGTCAAACACTCCGTCTGGGTCCTTATTCTTGAAACTGGGGAGCAGCGTTCCCAGGAGAACGAGTGTTCCGTCTTTGTTATTGATATTAACATTTGCATGTCATTGAGAAAGATGGAACACTCGTTCTCCTGGGAATGCTGCTCCCCTGTTTCAAGAATAAGGACCCTGTAGGGTACAAATTTTCGGAAAACCCGCCGTACGGAAAGGGTTGAATTTAAGTATTTACCTATTATACCTAAAATTTCAATTTTGATTTTTCTAAATTTTTTAACTTTTGACTTTACCAATCGTAAGAGGGAATCAAGTTTAGTGGAAAAGCATTGTCGTGATTTTTCTTTTAGAGGTTTTAGGGCGTGTAAAAAATTGAAAATGATTTTTTCATTCTTTGTACTGAAAAATTTTGATCATTCGACATTGCCTCACAAAATCGCTTATAATCATCATCTTCTCAATCAGAAATGCTTTTCAAGATAAAATAAAATTGAATCATTTATCTCATATAGTTTTTGAGACGTTGAGCTTCAAAGCTGGAACTTTCTTCTAAACTTTGGAAGGCCATCAAATAAAAACCAAACCCAATGGTAATATAATTACTAGCAAAGTAGAGACTGTGGATACGGTTTTCGATGTATAAGCTAACATTTCAGATCCGAATGACATACATCTAAAATTACAAAGCAAACTAGTGAAAATGTTCTTCACTGAAAATCTTCCTCGTGGGGTTGCAGTCAAATTCTCATGGACCAGGTACAAAAATTAAAACACTTTGTTGCTTTAATGCTTTGTCGAGCTAAAATTGCATATAGGTACCTACCTACTTCAACATACTAGATGCTTACGAACTAGCCATTTTCTGACCAAACTTCAAGAATATAATAGAAAACAATAGAATACAATATTTATTCATGCCAAATACATTACAAAAATGTTTACACTAGTCAAGTTTTCTACCCTAAGTAGAACAAGTATTTACCGAACAGGCTCAAATTTTGAACAATTACGGGAGGAAATTTATAAATAAACAAATAAATACACATATCGAGGCATCTAACTAAATATCACTTACAATATTGACTACATTGTTTTCGCTCTATGAATTCTATGAAAATCTATATACAGGGTTTTCCAGGAAAACAGTCCACCCTGAAAATCTTTGAAAATGAATTTTCTAGCTGAAAACGGCCGGACACGTCAAATTTAATGTTGAGCGGGCATGTTATGATTTATTCCCGCGTTTCTCTTCCCTAATGCCCCTACCCTCCAGAGCCACCACATTTTTTTTTTTAAATGACTTAATCAAGGTATCATGATTAAAAGGTAATTTTATTCTCTACATGACCCTGTTTTTGCTTTTTATTTTTATCGTTTCGTTATTAAGGAATATGCATGAACGAGTCTGAATATCAATTTTAGTAAACCTCCACATTACGCTGCTCCCATTCGTCAGTTTTTCAATGAAGAATTTCCTAGGCGATGGATTGGCTGGAGAGGTACCAATGGATGGCCTGCTAGACCTCCAGATCTTTTTTTTCAACATTTAATTTAATAATTGTAACCTTTTTATTTTCTTCAATACAATCAATGATCTGATGATATTCAGACTCCCTCATCCATAATTCTTAAGAACGTGCCGATAGAAATAAAAAACAAAAACAGGGTCATGTAGAGAATAAAATTACCTTTTAATGGAAGAATCACTCAACCCCACTATCCATTTAAAAAAATGCATAGGGTGGCTGTAGAGGGTAAGGGGATGAAGGGAGTTTCAAAGATTTTCAGGGTGGACTATTTTCCCTGAAACATCCTGTATATATGTTGTCTCTTTTTGGAGTATGGTGGTCGTGAATAATACTATGTGTTTCATACTTGTAGGTTTTTTTAGTATGCCATAGACATTGCAAAATATAGAGGCATAGGACTGTCAAATTATTTGAATGAATGAAACTCTGTTTACAGTTAGTTCGACAGTGGAGCTCAACAAGAACTCTTATGGTTTTTCTTTGAAGCCCAAAACCGCTCCCAAGGTTGGACGCATGACTACAAGCCAACATTGCATAGGCGAGCCCTGATTCGATACATGCGTAATATGCGCGCTGTTAAAATAACCTCTCTCAAATACCACACTCACCAAACTTCTGAGTGCATAAACGCTTGAAGCTGAGCCTTTAGCATAATTCATCAATGTGAATACTCTATAACAGTTAAGAGTCGACATGTACCTCCAGAAACTTAATTGCTTCTGGACACTCAACATCTCAGAGAGAGCGCGAAGCAAAATAGAGCATCTCCGTTTTTAATTGATTCAAATTCAATTGATTAGCAGTGAACCATTCAGTATTCCTCTACCGCGTCTCCCCTATGATTGCTTGCAATTCCTCAAGTTCTTTAGCCCTTCTCACAACAGTTGTTGATTTCTTGTCTAGGCTACTTCCCCAAGAGTTTAATAACAAAACTTGAATCAGGTTGAGTACACAACATTATCAATGACAGATTCTTCTAACGTTTCTGTGTCTTGATACTCAAATTCCATCGGCCTTTTTATTGAGTGACATTTTTTCATTTCAAAAGGCTTTAGCAAATTTTTGAGTTAGGGTATCTGACTCAAAAATATACCTTCCTGCAGAAGATATTCCAATTTTTATTTTGAGAAAACTTTTTAAGTTTTCCCATATCTTTCATCTGAAATTCTGTACTGAGAACTTTTTTACATTCTTCTAATTTTGAAATATCATTACTAGTCAAAGTTCTCTTCTCTACGTATATCTACAAGTAGAAAAATTTTAATATAGCCTTCTATTTTCCATTTGTAGTAGAGACACTTTTCATTGGCAAACCGTAGGTTTCATACCAAACTTTTTTAAAAAGGTTCCAAGTTCTTGGAGCCTTTTTGAGCCCATAAAGTGACTTTTCCAACTTGTATATTTAGCTTGATTCATTTCCAAAACCATCTGGTAACTTAATGACACTTCCTCAGTCCAAAATCCATGTGAACATGCGTTTTTCACATCCATTTGGTGAGCTAATAAATTTTCCTGATTTACTATTGACAACAGCACTCGTACGTCAAATGTGCTAATAGGGCATAAGTCTCCGTTTAATCATACCCTTTTCTTTGCAAAAATCCTCTGGCCATAATTCTAGCGTCATACCTATTGACCTTCTTTATCACGTTATATTCTAAAAATACATTTTGCATCTCCTGCTTTCGTGCCTGAAGAATATTCTGTTCTGACCGTGTAACTTCCAGGTATAATAATTTCTTTCCCACATTTTAAGTATTTACTGCTTCCATTGTTTGGTAACTCTGATGTTTGATTACATGTCTTATCTTCGCTGTCACCATCCGATACTATTTCAAAACTCACAATTATTCCACCTTCTGAAATCCTTAATGTGTCTGACTTTAGACTAAATAAGGTTTTAGTAAATTTGAAATCTGACTATCAAATTTTCCAGTGCTGACTGCTTTTGGTACCTATGTGAAGTCGCCTCTTACTTTCTCCAGCTTGTGTGGTAACCTCGTTTGTTTGCCTCGAATACAAATATTATCACAACTGTCAACATTGCATGTTTTTCCAATCCCTAAACTGTATAATTTATCTAAATTTTGAAGATTGCTGTAGCTAAGATGTCCAAAACGTTCGTGCCAAAGCTCAGAGAAATTTATCCTGTTAACAACAAAAGCTTATTTCTGCAAAATATTGAAACTTTATTTATACATTTTATGAATTATATTTGCCTCAAATACTGTACTTTTACCTTTGTATATTGCAGCTTTTCCATTTTTGTGATCTATATTGCAGTCATTTTCATCTAGCCATCGCCTCGTACAGAAATAAGATCAAATTCTAAACCGATTATCTTGAATACGAAGCCACATTAATATGATAATAAAACCCTAAGTAAATATATAATTTAATATTTTAGGTGAACTCTACATATACACAGTTACCATTAATTAACATAGTATTTATATAAACTTGGAATAAAACTGATGCTGGTGAAAAAAATGATCCCGAATTTATATAGGTACACTTTACATAAATGTAACAGATGTGTTTACTGGGTAATTAAGTTAAATACCTAATTCGAAATGACTCTAGGGAATACTCAATTTTTAAGTACCTATCGAACATTATTATTATTTGCAGATAATATGGAATATGTACAAGACATGCTGACAGAATTGAAAACTCATCCCAGCTGGCTAATAATAATTGCCTCCCTTTCTTTGATCTGCACCCTCAGTATATTCGTTTGCGTCCAAACAATGAAGGCTAAAACCAAAAGGGAAGTTGGAGTAGACTCAGATACCGCCATATACAGTCCGATCGGAGAATTCTATTTTCTTTCTGGACAGGAATTCGAAGAATCCAAATTATGATTGATTTTGTGGAGTATCTCATTATAATTTTTTAACGCTTAGATTTTGATTTAATGCATATTTTATTAATAATGATATACCTACCTACTTAGGAACTTATATAGTTGTATTTATTTTAATATTTTATGTTAGACTTTTAATAAATTTTATCAGTTGCCACGTTTCCAGGTTGTTTCGACCTGAATTGATAGTTCAGAAAGACTGAGAAAATAGGTTTGTATTACTACATATTTCATTTCATCGATTTATTTTTTCATAATTAGAGTATCATTACATCATCAAATTTATAAGGAACAAATGTATTTATTTCCACATGCTTGACTCTGCTCCAATAATTCAGCTCTGGAAGGAAGAAAAGAAAATATAATATTCTCGTTCTCACTATTCGTATCATTATTAAAAAAGTAATTTTGCATTTTCCAAACAAATGGAGCAATTTTGCAAATTAATAATTGCACACATCCGTTCTTATCGTCATCCAATCTTTCTTTTACGTATTCCATCACATATTCTGTGAGACTTTGATTCGTTATTTTACCAAGTTCGATCGGTATTAAAGTCTCTAAGTTGAGGTTTTTGATTTCTTTGACTTCGTACGCTCTAGATGTATTGCTTAATAAAGATGTTCCCAACTAGAAAAAAAATATGGTTAGTAGTATACTTGATTTTTTTACTCTTGGTTCAATATGGATAGGAAAATGCAATTGCAAAATTCGTTAATACTACTTACTAGTTGGGCCAAAAATATAAGTCCGTTAACAGCAATAGCTCCAATTTTCTCACTATCAAAACCTAGAATCTTAAACAATCCAGTGAAAATCTTATTGGTAATCGATGTAGCTTCGACTTTTCCATTTGCTGTATCATTATAATACGCTTCACTAACTAACTTTGAGGCTTCACTTGAATAGTCCACGTTTGAAACATTTTCATCAATTTTCTCGCCTGAAACCGACAACATTAATATACAAGTTAAATAAAAGTAACTTGTAATAATGATTATAGAAACCGACATAGGTGTGAATAAAAGGCGAACTGTTTTAACTTGCACGCACATCTATGTGATACAATTTCTAGACAATTTAAAGACGACATTACCTGGTTCAGTGATTTGAAAAATTCATACCACAGTTACTAATCAGGGAACGCCAATTAAATATTTTAATAGCCTAGCGGAAATATTAGGATTCGAGGCTCAACCGCACCAAAGATAACTTAAGAAATAGTGAGCGATTATTGAGGGAGAATAATTATTGTTAATCAAAACTTTATTAAACGACAATGTCTTTAAGGGAGTTACTCTTTCAATGGTCGCTTTTGGATGGTGCTTTCTGTATGTTGTAAGCTCTATTCTAATCTTCCTGTTTATTGCATCTAAATCCGTTTGAGTCCATATTTAACCATTAGATACGAATGAGTACTGAAGAATGGATATGGCATAGCTATATGCTGAATTCTTTGTTAAATATTATGGCTTTTATTTCTTCATGTTCTATTTTATGGGTCTGGAGGATTTCCAAGTACTTGTAGGGTTTGTCTGTCATGGCTTCAATAAAATTTCCTGGCTCTTATTCAATGAGCCTTGTACAGCTTTACAAGCAATTGGGGTGTGGGATCTTTAAATGCCTTGGAAATCAAGTACCTACATCACGGAATTCGACGTGTTTATGATGCCATTTATATGATTTTCCCACTTCATGGCTTCAATGACAACAATTCCCAAATCACTTTATTCAGCAATACAGATTACCTGGTTGAAGTATTCCATCCAGGGTCTTTATTTTTAAAACAGGGAAGCAGCGTTCCCAGGAGAACGAGTGTTCCGTCTTTGTTACTTATATTATCATTTGCATATCATTAGGAAAGAGGAAACCCTCGTTCTCCTGGGGAACATTGCTCCTCTGTTTCAAGAATAAGGGCCCAGGGGTTGTTTTTGCTCAAGTGGAGAATTGAATACTTGGAGTTATTCAGTGGCATTTGTCAGGTCATTGTTCACTGTTTGATGGCATCTATGTCCCTCTAGAGGCTTCCATTTTGCGTTACATGATTACTCTAACAACAGGTACCTATCATTCGCAAACGAGGACATCTGACTCCTCAATCTATTTGGCAGATCAATTATATAAACAAGGAAGACTAGAGAGCCAAGGACTGAGCCTTGGGAAACACAACTATAAACTTCACAGGAATTTGACTTCACGGACTCTATCCTGGCACAGAACTGTCAGATCCTGATCCTGCAGAATATCTTGGATGAGGTTGAGTAGAAGTTCTCTTATACCATCCTGATGGAGTTTAGGAAGAAGCCGCCCAAACAGTACCTTGTCAAAGGACTTTTCAAAATCCAGATGAAATTCATCAACAGACTAGCCAGACTCGTCTGCCCTTGTTCAGTCATGAGCCTTGGTAAGCAGGTTTGTGGAAGTGGACCTTCTAGGAAGGTGTTGGGAAGGTGGAATGATTCCATTTCCGAGCAAAAATCCAGTCATCTCAGATACCAGGGCCTTCTCCATGCATTTGCAAAGGTTGCTTGTTAAGCTAATGAACATAGTTCACAGGCAGATTTTTGTTGCCTTTCTTGTAAGTAGGCACTACAATTGCATTCTTCCATTCCCTTGGTAGTTTGCCATACCTAAGAAGATTGTTCATCATGGCTGAGAGAAAAAGTGACAGTTCAGGAAAATGGCAGGGATTTCATCCTGCCATCATAGTCTCCTGGACTATAATCTGGCATCAGTGATTTGAATGCAGTCTCCAATTTCTCGGGTGTAAAAGTCACAATTTACAGAATGTATCAGGATCCAAGTCGGACATATGGATTAGATCTTCTCTTATAAAAACACTCTAAAACTGTTTTAAAAAACAAATTGACAACTTTTTTCTCATCATCAGGGGTGAAGTAAGTGGCTACATTCCTAAGTGAGAAATGTGTAATAGAACCAAGAGATCTGTTTATGTAGGAATAAAACTGCTTTTCAGAAGAGGCTAGCAATTCTTGTTCATATTTCCTTCTAGACTGTTTTATCTTGGTTTTGGGGAAGTTAGTTGGGTTCCTGTAGTACAAGTTGTCATTTTCAGAGTTGTTTTCCAATTTCTTGTGCCACAAATTTCTCTTTTTTTCAATGTGTTTAAAATTTTTTTGAGTTAAACAAGGCTTCTGGGGATTCATAGTTAAGTGATGCTGGAGAATTCTTGCTGTAGATGTGTGTTAATAAGTTCATAGTCTGCGGACCAACGTCTCCTCTGGTATATTTTTATTTGTTGGTTTTGGAGTAGCCTAAATTTGGGATCTGGCTGTTATGACTACATGATAGCAAAAAAACTCCCCAAATAACTCAAGAGCTCCAAATCGGAGACTGGTACACAATATTATCAGCGAAACCGAGAACTAAATGTTTCATTATAGAGTTCGAAACCTCTGATCATTAGTCTCGCTTTATACAGGGTGTTTCACGAACATCGAAACAAAGGCGTTTTGGGGTATTTTAAGGTCGATTAAAAAAAAAAAAAAAAACGCTAGGACACGTCAATTTTGTATTCAAGGGGGACTTTGGCAGTGAATATCTTGAGAATTAATCATTCGATTTTCAAAAAAAAAAATACGCAGTGGTGACGAGAATCAAAATACCTTTAAAACAAGGTGCCACTTGACTCATGTGTTGGGAGCTTTCCCAACGTAACTTTCCTGCGCGCTGCTTGTGAACTTTGTATTAGTTATAATTATTATTATCAAATAGGTTCTGGTTGTCAACTGTGCATTTTGTTGTTGTTTGTTTGTTGTGCAATGAATTTACCATCTTTTTTAGTCAACGGTAGAATCTTTGGCTTACAGAAGCCTTGATCACTGATTTTGCTACAGAACAGAAAAATCTTGATCCATTTGGTCAGTGGAGCAGTTTTGTTCTCAGTCATTTTTTTTTTATGTTAATAATACCCATAATTTTTTCATATTTACAATTCCTGGATTATACCCAATTTTCTATGCCAACTTTTGCTATTGTTATTTTCTTCAACCAAAAGTCTTTCATCTTCTGAGTTTAGTTTTACAACGTAAAGACCATTTTCTTTATTTCCTTTTATTATTTCAACTTCATCCTTCTATTGAGGAAGCTTGTGATAGTGATGAAACAACTCTTTCTTCAGTGTGTTTCAATAAACTTCTTTAATCGATATCGGAGTTAAAAATGTGCTGCTCTAGATTTTTAAGAAACTAATGACACACACTATTTATCATGGTTGTCATGACACATTTCTCTTTTGTGTTTTAATTTGTTCTCAGCACCAACTTAAACATAATTTTGATTGACCAGCAACACCTTCATTTATTACAACTTTATCCTTGAAAAAATACACTCCACCATTATTTTCTGTGAGACAAATCAGGCAGATTTTAAGATAGATGCTGTACTTTCAACACTTTTTTTTCTTATAGTGCTTTCATGTTTCTATCTTTTTTAGCAACCATAACATTTTAACTTATTTCTTTCATAGTTGAATATAAGGCCTTGTCTTTTACCATGTGTGATGAGCTACCAGAGTCTACTATAAATTTCATGTCAGTTTTAGTGTTTTTTATTTTTATTTTCTGTCAAGAAAGCTATTTTTCTTACTTTTTTTGAATTTCCTGCTTGTCTGTTATCTTGTACATGTTGCTTTTTATTTCTGATGAAACCATCTTCTGAATGATTTGTTTTCTTGCATATTTCACACCGTGTTTGCTTTGTTCTTGAAAAACAATCTTCAGCAAAATGTATATGTCTACCTATCTATCTATCTATCTATTCAGCCTTCTTCAGTCCATCTTTAGACGTAGGCCTCCCCCAGTTCTTCTCCATTTCTCTCTGTCTATTGCCATGTTCATCCACCTAGTTCCAGCGTGCTCCTTCAGGTCATCAGCATACCTCATCTGGGGTCTTCCTCCACTTCTTTTATTCTCCCAAGGTATCCAGCCAAGATACATTTGTTCCATCCGTCGTCTTTTTGTCTGATATTGGGACCAGCGAGTTTCCATTTTAATTTTGCTACCTCCTTTCTAACGTCTCTCACTCTCTTTTATTGCGTTCCTCTTTTTATCTATCAGTTCCACATGTAACATTTGTTTTTCCATTGAACTTTGTGCTTTTGTTATTTTATCCATGGTTGACTTTGTAAGTGTTCATGTTTGGGATACATAGGTGAGAACAGGATTGATTATTGATTATAAACTTTGGTTTTCAGGTATTCTGGATATTTTCTATTTTTCAAGATGTAGCTTAATTTGCTGAATGCTGCCCAAGCTAATCTAACTCGTTTCTTGATTTCTGCTGTTTGGTTTTCTTTATTGAGTTTAATAATTTGTCTTAGATATATATATATATATATATTCGTCGACTCTTTCTATTTTTCCCTGTCCTATTCTGATTGTGATGTCATCGTTTGTGTTCGTTATTGTTTTAGTTTTAGCGTAGTTCATATTGAGGCCTATGTTTTTAGCTACTGTAAAGTTCTTCCAACATTTCCGTCAGTTCTTCTTTCTTATCGATATCATCCGCGTATCTTAAGTTGCTCAAGTGTTGTCCGCATATTTTTAAACCTTTTTCTTTCCAGTCTAGTTTTTTGAAAATATCTTCCAGGGCCTGGTTGAGAAGTTTGGGTGATATTGTGTCGCCCAGTCTGACACCTCTTCCTATAGGTATTGGTTTTGTTCCCTCATGGATTTTAACAGTTATTGTTGCTTCGCTATATGTATATGTTGGTTATTAGGTCTGTGTATCTGTATTCTATTCTGGTATTAATTAATGCCCAATGTTCAACCCTATCAAAAGCCTTTTCGAAGTCGATAAATGCATTATACAGTGGGATGTGATATTCGTTGGCTCGTTCTATTAGGATTTTCATGGTTAATAGTTGGTCACTTGTACTGAAACCCTTTCTGAAGCCGGCCTGCTCTTTCGATTGGTAACCATCGAATTTAATTGTTAGCCTGGTGGTGAGAATTTTTGTGAAGAGCTTATAAATTACATTGGGGAGTGTTATAGGTCGATAGTTTTTCAAGTCTGTTCTATCTGCTTTCTTATGAAGGATGATGGTTATGGATTAATTCCAGTTGTTTGGAAGTTTCTTTTCCTTCAGTATTTTATTTAGAAGGTTATGGAGAGTATTGATAACTGTTTTTTCGCCGTATTTTAGCATTTCTGCCATGACTCCGTCTTTTCCAGGTGCTTTGCTGTTTGAAAAATGTCTAGCTTTTACAAAATTTGCTATCATGATTTCAACTTTTACACTTTTAACAAACATGTTCATTAATTTTGAAAGCTCCTTTAGCTTCTTCATCTTTTGATCTATTATCTTATCAAAGTCTAGCTGTAAAATTTGTTAATGTTCTTTCTCTTACAGATGTGGATCCACATGCGATGATAAAATATTAAAATTATGATGGTAAGGTCAACAGGCTTTTACTCATAATCATATTATTATCGTCTATGGTTTGGTTTAAAGTTTATAGTTTGTGAGTTAAACTTTTAACAACAACAACAACATGCAACTGGAAATTCCAAATTTGGTATGAATCTTCACTATACACAATTTTTTTATTTGAACAGTTTCTTCTGCCATTTTCATTTTTTTTTTTACTTTTTATTTAGTGATTTTAATTTGAGTCTTTAGAAACCACTCAACCAGGAGCTTTTTTTTTTAATCTATCGTCATTGCAAATCGGATGTCGCTTTTAGTATTTTTGTACAATAAACTTTTGTTGGTGCGGTTGAAGAAATTCCACACTAAACCAGAACAAAAATTGCTCTTAAAATCGTCTTGCTTCTGTTCTTCAGGTTAATTTAGCGACACAATGCGGAATGTAAATATTATAACAGTGATACTTATAGCCACACAAGCTGATAGTTCCAAAGATTTTTCTTCTCTAATCGATGTCGATTCTTTAAGTGAATTACCAATTGAAGCACTTTTAAATATTCAAAAAAATATACAGAATGTTGCTGATAATAATGAAACTGATCATGATACAGTGACTGAAACATTTTCACCTGAAGGTAACTTAGTAATATGCATTATATTCAATATATGATAAGTTTAATCATTATTATGTTTAATTCAAAAACAAATTTCATTTCAGAACGCATCAATCCGCAAGCTTTACCTTTTTACAAAAACGAAAAAATTAAAGACAAAGGTGACGGTTATTATGTACAATACGTAGAAGAAGATAAAAAATACGAAAAAAAGAAAAGCGTTAGCAAAATATTCCAATCATCCGTTACCGTTTTGGCTTTTTTGGCATTTGGAGGCTACTTATTGTTTCTTATAATAGCGGCAATTAAAGGCAAACAATATTATAATCCGATCGTATATGATCCGAATACGACGCAAATTATGCAAGCCATGATAAACGCACAGATGAATAGGAAAAAGAAGAAGAGGAAGAAACCAATTCGCGGACATGGCCAAATCGGATATAAAACGGAAGAGTATTTGGACAACTCAAGAGTTAGAAGAGATATGTTGAATACTGATATAAATATCGAAGAAATGTATCAAGTTTTAGTGAATTTGTGTGAGGGATATCATAGAATTGCGGGATATAAATAAATTCTACCTATAGTTAAATTTTTTGATGACTGGGTACGATAAATGAAACCTACCAAATTTGGAACCCCTTACAGAGTATAGTGACCAAACACTTTCATTAGCCTCATTCATAGACATACACATACCTATAGACAATTTTTTTACAAACTTTTTCAACAAAACCCAAAATCAGAAAACACACCTCAAACTAAACTTTTGTGGTTAAAATTACGCTCGATTATTCACGCGCCGCAATTTAACTAGCTCCAAGTACCCAGCAGCAGCAGCAGCCCCCTCTATACCTTAACTGTCAATATTGCATGCCATTATTATAATCTGCTTGCCAGTGTTATCAATACTTCGTTGATTTTTCTTGTTATGTAGGCCATCAATGAACTATGAACAATGAACTACCTTAATTACTTAAATGCATTCTGACACATTTATGTGTACCCTCGTTATTGGTACCCTTTGATTAAAAAACAGGTGTGTAGAACTTTGTTAAATATCATACCCAGCGCCAGCTATGATGTTAAGTTTTCTCTACGCAAAAGTTATACCTACCAGTACAATATAGATATAGATATAATTTCAAGAACTAAACATATCAATATTAAAATCATAAAATCTATTTTATTCTGAATAATCTTTTATGAAAGCAACCTACCAAGAAGTTTTCATGTCAACATATAATAACCATTAAATTAAAATAAAGACTAACTTAATAATACGGTTGTAATAATAATAATAATTATTAAGGGAACGTGAAATCAATTAACGACATGGATGATTTGTTAAACGATCGAAGATGAGCGAAGAAAAATCGTGTTTTCATCGTGGCAAATGGATGCGTCCGCATAAGTTAGCAGTACGAGCCAGAAGACAACAATATATGGGTATCTGGCTGAGAGACTCCGACCACGGAATAAATATTACCATTAAAGGTGAGGTTTAACAGCAGGCGATCGGGGCTCTCCTGCAGCGAGAATTACTGCCCGAATGAATAACTATATACTTTATTACATACTAATAACATGATCGCATTAGCATGTGACTGTTATGTTGGGATATTAATCAGCAAAACACCGTCGAAGTCGCTACCTTTCACTACATATGAGCACACGTTGTTTACGCTGTTGACCGGACGATGGGCTGTGCGTGTAAAGGAGCGCCCAAGTCCGACCAACACCAAAATTTCTTGCCTGAACTTTTTTTTTTTTTTCTTCTGTTGATTAATGACAAGCAAAACCCATATCTACCAATAATTTATTGGCGATGTTGGCTGCAAATGCGAATAAAAGTCGTATAGCTAAATGAACATTTAACGGTGAACATTGAAAGACTTGAAATATATAATAGTACATTAAAATACAAGTTTCATAAGACGTCATTTTATCGCACGAGCCCTATATTAGAAAACGAGCCGGAGGCGAGTTTTCTAAAGGGCGAGTGCGATGAAATGTCTTATGAAACGAATATTTTATACCATTTTTTCTATTTTGGTATTGTTTAATTAAAAAAAAAAAAAAATTTTTCTTAAAAATTTTATTCTCATATTTCCTGATTTCATATGTTTAGGTTGGTAACACTACATGCCAAATATAGAATTAATGGCGATTTCCATTTGTCAATCAGTGCGCACTGAGTGTATCCGCATCTTTTTCTAAAAGCATGTAACATGTAAGGATAAAGATACCTACATTTTTTTTGCACTGGTTCGACAAATGGAAAACGCTATTAGGGCGGGTATTATAAAACTACTTTGAGAGAGTTAACTTAAAGTTAACTTTTGGAATTACATGTTATTCAAAAAGTTAACTTCAAGTTAACTGTCCAAGCAGTTTTATAATACCCGCCCTTTTTCTTGTATAAAATCGCGAATGATGTTCGATGGCCATCAGTCCGCCAGTGTTACCAACTTCCGATAAGTAAAAAAGGAGTGTCACAAAGAGCTTCTTTTCGAAACTAATTTTAGTGTCGAAAAGACTTCGATATGACACCAAAATAGAAAAATATATTTTATGTGATATGCCACCTAGGCGGATCAATGATGGCAATTGTTTCAATTCAGCGGAACTAAGATTGTGGATGATCCAGTTTTCTTGGTGATAAAAAGCTTCTGCAGCATGACAATGACATTCATAACAAAACAAGTATACATAATGACTGACGTAGTTGACGTACTGAAGTGAATATAGTCACAAGACATTTCGCGACTTGGCTAATTTTAAAAATAATTACATCTCAACACTCCTCCTCAATTATTTTTACTTTTCCTACAACATAAATTTATCATAAACTATTTCAAATTTCTGATTTAATCTAGTTTGGTTTATTCAAGATGTTAATCGTATTGTTTGCAATAGTTGCTGCAACAAGTCCATCATCTACTAATCAAATCAAATCAGATTTATTTGTTCACACGCCCAAATGCACCATAATGGCGGCTTTACACCAAACCGACTAGTTGAGTTGCTGTTTTAAAAAGGAAAAACTCATCTGTTATTACTGATAAAACTGTTCACAATTAATAAATAATATAAAATAATGAACACCTATCTACTTTCTGAATTGAACTAAACAAAACTGCAACCGTTCCTCTGATGTAAAACGACAGAAAATAAAAACTCGACAGCAACTAATTTTTGCCTGTTTAATGCGTGAACAGTTTTATCGTTAAAAACAGTTAGATTTTTGTTTTTTAAAACAGCAACAAAACAGCAACTCAACTAGTCGGTTTGGTGTAAAACCGCCATAAGGACCTAATCCAGATTAGTTGCTAAAACTAGATTGGAACTCCTTTTTTATATGCAAATTTTCGAATTAAGCGAGATTAAACTGCCAAGTCCATACGGTGCATACGGGTGTATAGTACAATAATGTCTACAAGTCACAAGAGGACTTGTAAAATTACTAAAATTGTTTATTTTACTAATATCTAGGTGATGATCTTACTATTTATACTACTAAGCTTTTAACCAGTACAATGAATTTCGAAAATCTGTGCATGCTGGTCAGTAACTCAAAATCATTTGTATAATTATATTAAGGCTATGCTAGCTACAAATAGAAATTTATATAAAAACAATCACCTAAATTTTGTTTCACGAGGGTTTATACCATTGATCTCAAAAATAAAGGGATAAACAATCGAACGGCTGGATTGACTAAACTTGTGTGAAAATTTGGTATCAATATTCTACCAACTACAGTTGTGCAACGAAACAGCCTAGCGCCTGCATAGTGTCTTATTTTTCGCAACCGTTCTAAATTTTGAAATATCCTTCATTTTCATTGGCCATATTTTCCGCACGCACAGTAAAATCTGTTTTTTTTTAAAGATAATTCTAAATTCAAAAATTTAGTAACTATGTTGGCAACACAAGCCTTTTCTACATGAAAACTTTGATAGCATTGACAATTTTACATTGTATTGCCAACCTAATGTCAGTTTGACTTTTATCTTAAAAAAAAAACGCACTTTACATGTATCTACTGCGCACGCTCACAGCTGTCCCAGTTGTTTATATTTGGCCTGTTCGCACAGAAATCACAAACCAGTCAGAATGAATTTCATTGGTTGAAACTAGTTTTCTGACTGTTTCTGACTGTTTTCAACCAATGAAATTCGCTCTGACTGGTTTGTGATTGCTGTGCGAACAGGCCTATAATGACCTCGTAAATTAGCAGCATTAAGCGGCGTTTCCACATGCATAGTTTACTGGCGCCAGTCGACTGGTGCAACTTTTTTGGCGCGTGGAAACTCGGAAAATTAACTGACGCCATTTAACTTGCGCCACTTATCCATGCGCCAGTAAGGTAGAATGGAGGTCTACTTTTTGGCGCCAGTTTGTCGAAAAAAATACAAACGTGTTCACTAGTCGTTTTCAGAAAAATAATGAAACTGTCAAGTGAATCTGAAAAATAGAGCATATTATAAAGTTTTTGGAAGCTTATGAAGAGCATCCCTGTTTGTGGAATCGCAAACTTTTGTGTTACAATAGGGTAGTGGACAAGGTATAATTTCAATGAAATCGATGATCTATTCTTCATTCATGAAGTAAATAAAAAATATTCGTTTAAAAAAAAAATTCAGATAAAATTACTAACCTTGTTTAAAACGGCGGTAAAAGGAGAGTTTTGGGACGCACTATTTAAACGGAAATATTTCGCGCCCTGATTCTACGTCATAGCTGTTGTATTTAAGTATGAATTAAATAAAACCTACGTCCGATATTCGACACAAACTTACTCATTAGTGCAAAAAAGAGACATATATCAGCGTCTCTCGGGTATTATTACATTTAGGCGCACCCTCAACATAACCCCACTTTTTGAGAGAATTCTATTTGGCAATCAGTGCGCACTGAGTTTATCGGCATCTTTTTCTAAAAGCATGTAAAATATAAGGACGCGCTATTGGACATACATAACAGCTATGACGTAATTACCTGGCGGTAAATTGTAGCGTTTAAAATAAGTACAAATTTGTTAATTTTTTTTTCACGTATATTTTTGTTTTCTAAAATCAAAGAATCATCAACAATTGTTTATTTTGTTATGAAGATTAATAAAAAAAATATTCCAAAAAATTGTCCACTACCCTATTAAAGACATCAGGAATAAACGGAATGATGCTTTAAGGACACCTAAGTGTTAAGGTAGTGTCCGAGCTCGAGTCTGTAAGTGATTTTGCTTCATGGTCCTTATCTGCTAACTCGGACAGTATATTATTTGATGCTTCAAGAGCTGCGTGAAGTCCATTTTCGTTTGTGTTTACATCCCTTCTTCTTATTTTCTCGTATCTTCTGCCAGTCACGTTTGAAATATTCTCTTTTTCCGCAGGAGGGATAACATTCAGAGCTCTTGCTTAAGTTACACTTTGAAGGCTGAGCAGCACTAAAACGGAAATGAGATCTCAAACATACGCTACTATATTACAGAGATTTCATTTCCCTGGTTCAATATGTTTGTTGAGATTTTGGGTTATGGGAAAGGAGACAAAGACCAACTATTCGTTG